GTGACCTGAGCCGAAGGCAGACACTTAGCCTACTGAACCACCCAGGCGCCCCAACAGAGTATTGATTTAACATAAAATTGCAATATACCTTATATTGGGAGACTAGAGGAAGGGAAGTAGAGGAGGCATAATGGTGCCAAGTCTTTGTCTTCCATAATAGTCAGTCCGTAGGTAATATCTGAAATTGGTCATGTTATTTAGAAACATGGACATTAACACCAGGAGAAATGGCTAGAAACGTTGAAGATGATTGTTTCTGGGGAGTGGGACTCAGGTCAAAGGGTGAGGTAGGGGGCTGCTTTAAAAATATATATATATACATATAATTAACTTAGATGCAAAACTATTTTAAAAATTCTCTTAGGTTAGACCATAATGAGGATCTCCATTACTTTAAGTGGCCATATTTTCTGACCAGAATGAAATAAGAGTAGAAACAAATTATATATTTAAACAGCAACAAACCAAATCTCAATCTTTAGGGGAATTATAATATAGTTAGTTACAAGCCATATAACCATGTACCAGGCCAAGGAAGGAAAGTTTAATTTAGGAAATAATAAAAAAGAAAAATACCACCTCTCAAAACCAATATTCTTTAGTCTGGTGTGGCCAAGCAATACTTGGCAATAAATTCAACATTCAAATCTCCATTTTTTTTTTTTTTTTTTTGCGAGAGAGTATGAGTCGGGTGGGGGAGGGAGAGGAGAAGGAGAGAGAGAATCTTAAGCAGGCTTCACGCCCAGCACAGAGCCTGACACAGGGCTTGATCTCACCACCCTGAGATCATGACCTGAGCCGAAATCAAGAGTCAGACACTTAACCGACTATGCCACCCAGGTGCCCCTTGAATCTCCATTTTTTAAAAAAAGACATTCAACTTAAGATTTTAGAAAATGAACCCCACCCCCAACAAAAACCCCACGAGAAAACAACAATGTGGAAGCTAAAAATATATTCAGTTAGTAATTTTCTCTATTTTTCTAATGTATATGCCATCTGGATTTCAAGTAACTGTTTTGGGGGTGTTTGGTTGATTGTGTCTTTTAGGTCTTAAACACAGATAGTTTGAAAATATCAACTCGTCTGAACTTGTTGGACCAAGAGTTGTCTGAAAAGAATGTAGAGCTTCAACGCAGCACAGCTGAGGAGCAAGTAAAGATTTCAGAACGAGTTCAAGCCCTCCAGAAAGAAAAGGATCAGCTACAGAGACGAAGGAACAGTGTGGATGAGAAACTTAAAAATGGTAGTGTGTTATCACCTGAAGTAAGTCAGTATTCCTTAGAACTGGAAGTGCTCTACGATGGGTCACTTGAATGATTTCCTCTGTCTTTGTTAACTTACACATAAAAATGAGAAATCTGGTAAGCTTTGTTTCCTTGAGGCTTTGTCTGATGTATTGAGTTTACCTGGCTCCTATTAGGTGCCATAAGCCATGCTTGACTCTAAACTGTGATATCCTCACACACGGGTCCATGAACGTGGCCCCTTGCTGGCATTGCCAGGGATTGGGAAACTAACACTTCCCTTGAATAGGGCCTTTCTCAGCTGGGGTTTCTCACCTGACATCACAGAATACAGAAGATGATTTGAAGGGACTCTTCCTCAGTTCTTTCAAAGAGAGCACCTACCTTCTCTCTGCTTCTTTCTCGAACAATTCTAGGTAATCTATCACATACTATGGATGGCTAGGGCATTCACGGTTAGTTCTTTCAGAAAATCCCAGCCTTTGAGAGCATGTTCCAGCCAAGTAGATGCATGGAATTCAAATCCCAATAAAAATACCTTTGATAATTTATCAGTTACTGATAAATTATTGAACACTACATCTGAAACTAATGATGTACTATAAGTTGGCTAATTGAATTTAAATTGAAAAAAAGAAAAAATATAAAAACAATATAAAAATAAAAAAAATACCTCAGGGTTTGAGTCCTCATTTATGAGGAGCATATGACTCCTCTTACCTTTCTTTTTTTTTTTTTTTAAATTTTATTTATTTATTTGAGTGAGAGAGAATGAGAGATAGCACGAGAGGGAAGAGGGTCAGAGGGAGAAGCAGACTCCCCACTGAGCAGGGAGCCCGATGCGGGACTCAATCCAGGGACTCCAGGATCATGACCTGAGCCGAAGGCAGTAGCTCAACCGACTGAGCCACCCAGGCGCCCTTACCTTTCTTTTTTAAAACTATGTAAAAGATAGTACATTTATCATTGTCAAATTCCCCCAGACTTTTCTTTTTTCAAAATTTTACATCAGTTGGCAATCCCGTCCCTTACTTTATCAGACAAGTATGAATTTTTGAGCCTGAATTTTCTCTGCAAACATTTATTGTGGATGTCCTGTCATGACCAAAGCAAGAGAAAACTGCTAAGAGAAAGTGAGTAGTTAGGAATCATGCACCTTGCTGAATCTTGTATAGTTTTAGAATGGAGCAAGTGGGAGAGAAAGTTAAGGGGGCTGGTTAAGAAAGAACAGGAGCAAGGATTTCATAAAATTAGATCGTTGTTCACTGTGTGGATGAAAGGAACTGAAGACTGACTGGATTGGGGGCTCTGTGGCATTATAAGTCTCACTGCCCCATTTCATAGCCTGAGTGCTGTGCAGAGGATCACAGAATCAGACTGTCCTCCCGAGGGTGTTAAATTAGAGCCTGGCCTTGTAGATTTGAGGGTATGAGAGCCTAAAATACCGCAAAATAGAGGAGTATTTAAGGAATTCTTGCCTGCCCAGGACTGTCACTAGGCCCTATGGAAGAAACAAAAAAAAATAAAAAGCATTATGCTTCTTTTGAGAAATTCATACTCTACCAGGGGAAAAGAGACAGATACAAGAAAACTCTAAACCCTGAAGAACATTTAAAAAAACAAGTTATAATAATATACTAAAACTATACTTGTTACATTATTTATAAAAAACAATGCAGTGGTCATTTGGGGGGGAAGATTCATCAAGGCAGCTTTGGTGGATTGGAATCTCAAGCTGAATTATGAAAACCATGATATTGGTAGATATAAGAAAGAAGGCCTTTGTAGCTAGAACACCATTATATAAGGCATGAAGAAGTGAATGAGCAAATGATGTTTGCAGAAGGGTAGAGGGCCCGTTATCATCAAGAAACATTGACTTTTCTGTTTCCTGTGGAATTCTGTAACTACAAATCATGATGTAGTTTGTGGTGAAAACCATGCGAAATACCTGTTTAGCAGCCAGGCTGGATTGGTTTGAGGAATGAGGGAGCCTCCTACCACTGGTGGGGTTCCATTAGCCATGTGAGTTTCTTGCAGCCTTCTTCCACAAGATTGGTTCTTCTTAGTTCACTCTGCAGTGGGCTCTGCTCTCTCCACTGTCTTAAAGCCAAGATTACTCTTACCAGATAGATCTGCCAATAGCAGATGATCAGCAACATGAGATTCTGATGTGACACAAGACATCAGTAACATCTAGGTGGAATAGTCTGCTGCTTCGATCTCTTTAAACTAGTTTAGGATTATTTTCTCTTTCTACAATAAATTAAAATCAGTTTCATAATCATACTACTTAATGGGAAGTGACTGATTTTTAGATCACTATACTAGTACAGGATTACCCAACAATATAGACAAATACTTCCTTTTTTTTTGGAAAACTCCATAAACAAATTTAAAAAAAATACTCCCGACTCCATTTTTCTAATAATGCAGAGCAGTTGCTCAGTAAGTGGGATATAGGAAGAAAATATGAGACTATTATATCTATGTTTATTTCATCTTTTACACTTTCGATTTCATGTTTTATCGTTAAAACATGCATATAATTTATGGAGAAATATGCATATATGCAGTGCTTACTTAAAATTTTTTGCTTTGTTTGCTTGTTTGTTTTACTGATAGGGATGTATGACCTAAACTGCTTTAGGTCCTTGTTGCTCACAGTGTGAGGTCTCTGGATCAATAGAACTATCACCTGGGAGCCTGTTAGAAATGCAGAGCCTCAGGCCCCCCACCCAGACCTGCTGAATGAGAAATCTGCCTCTTTTTTTTTTAATTGGATAGTCTAGCACCTCAGTTTTTCTTTTCTTTCTTCTTCTTTTTTTTTTTTTTTTAAAGATTTTATTTATTTATTTGACAGAGATAGAGATAGCGAGAGCAGGAACACAAGCAGCGGGAGAGGGAGAGGGAGAAGCAGGCTTCCCGCCAAGCAAGGAGCCTGATGTAGGACTCGATCCCAGGACCCTGGGATCATGACTGAGCCGAAGGCAGACGCTTAATGACTGAGCCACCCAGGCGCCCGAGAAATCTGCATTTTAACAAGACCCCTGGTGCATGTGTGAAAAGCAGTGCTCTCTGATAAAGCATAGTCAACTCGATAATCTGTTGTTTGCCATGTGGCAAATTTTTCATGCTGGACCAGTTTCTCATTGCCATTCATCTTCTCGCAGCTGTTGCTTGATTAGAGGGCGTCAGGATTATTTGCACGCTGCAGCCTCACTGGAGTGGGCCATCCTCAGGGTTCTGGAGTCATACTGCCTTATACTATCGCAGTACTTCCCTAACTTCGGTCCAAAACTATAGAAACTAAATTTCTGCCAAATTGTTCTCACACATATATAAAGGCAAACTCCTTCCACATTTGTTTTTGGTAAAATATCATAGTATGCATTATTCAGAAGTCAAATATGTTCTTTGGATAATCCACTTTTATTTTCTGGTCCCTCTTATCCATTCACTGATGTACCTTTTGTTTGTTTTTCTTTTTTTTTAAAGATTTTATTTATTTATTTGACAGAAAGAGAGAGACAGCAAGAGAGGGAACACAAGCAGGGGGAGTGGGAGAGGGAGAAGCAGGCTTCCCACTGAGCAGGGAGCCCAATGCGGGGCTCGATCCCAGGACCCTGGAACCATGACCTGAGCCGAAGGCAGTTGCCCAACCAACTGAGCCACCCAGGCACCCCAGTTTGTTTTTCTTAAAAAGGTGATTATTTTCTTCCAGATGGAGTGATGATCAAATCATCAAATTTTTGATGGTTAGTGATTGCACTAACAAAATGGCTGTTAAATATTTTTTTTTCAAAATGGCTCTTTCAGGAGATTTTTATATAAAGTAGCTTTTAAAAATAAGTATTATTCAACCTCCCACTAGAATAGGTTATTACATACCTTTTCCCTGAATTCCAAAACAGGAGTTCTGGAAGTCACTTTAACTATTCTTTAGGTAGATCAGATATATTAACATAATTTTCCTTTGAAATGCTGGGGGAAGGAGTGGAGAGAAGTATTTGGGTCATCTAATCAGACATATGAAAATATTTTTTTCTCCTTTTCCCTCATTAACCCATTCAGCAGATACTTACTGAGTTTAAACTATGTGATATGTACTGTACTAGGCAATAAGGACATGAGTATGGACAAGATGGTCTGCCTTCAAGGAACCTAAAGTTGTGGTAACCACCACCACACATACAGGTATACAGAAATGTCTATCAAAGTCTCACCAGGTTGAAATAATTTCTTACGAGAAATTTGGACACTCTCAAGATGTTTGGATAGTTCAAAGAACTGCTAGGTTTTCTGACAGGGATTCATCAAGTTTTTTTTTTTTTTTTTTCTCCCTACAAAGAAAATCTCCTCTAGCTTATGAAAAAAATGTTAGATCGTCGACATTTTTAATGCCTTTGTTTGCTCTTTAATGATATCTCATAGGAATTTTATGAAATGTTTCATGTCCTTAAATCTTCCCTACTTTTTTTTATGCCATACTCTTTTTTCCCTAGAGACCCTCTTCTGATGACTAGTTCTTAATAATTTATTCTAAATCTATTTCTTCTTTCCCTCCCGGCAGTATATTGTTTCAATAGATCCCTGAAGGGACACCAGGGAGTCTCCAGATCTCTCTAACACATAATGTGAATTTCAGGAGCTGTGGAGGGAGATACATGGCTATAGTGCTGGTCCTGGAGGCGAGGCTTTGTTCAAGTGTATTCCTTGGTTATCAGCATTTGCTGTATGACCTTGGGACGTTTCGTACATGAGGTTTAGTGCGAGGATTCAGTGAGTGTATGTTTTATATATGTGTGTATACACATGTTGTACTGTGTAGCATTGCAAGCACTCAGTAAACATCATTTTCTTAAAATTTAGTAGACGAATGGTAACGTCCATTAGACTTAGATAGCATAGTGAGATCCTAGTGTATGACAAAGTCCAAGTAATATTATTTCATTTGAAATGAATGATTTCTATTATATTATATCTAGGAAGAACATGTTCTTTTCCAACTTGAAGAAGGGATTGAAGCTTTGGAAGCTGCAATTGAATACAAGAATGAAAGTATCCAGAGTCGCCAGAACTCGCTCAGAGCTTCACTCCAAAACCTCTCTCATAGTGAAGCAAATGTCTTGGAAAAACTCATTTGCCTGAGTCCTGTTGAGATTAGAGCTATTCTTTTCAGATATTTCAATAAGGTTTGTTTCGGAGGGACAGAGGATTTTCTTATACAGGGGGGCCAAGATGCTTATACATGTCACGTTTCAGAAATTGAAAAGCCTAAAACTTTGATGTTGTAACTACAGATTTAAGCATGATTTCTCCTTACACTACTGAATATGGTCATCTGAAAGCTGTGTGCTTATCCAAGTATGTATGCCTCCCTTTGGGAGGTTCTTAAAGTTGGAAGGACCTTTTGAAAGAAGGGCTTTTTGAAATAGTTTTAAAAACCCAAGGATTCAAGTTATATTCCTCAATCACTGTTTCTTGGATACTTTCAAGATTTGGTTGTTGCTGCTCAGCATTCATGAAAAATCAAGGGCCTTCCAGGTTCGGGCTCCCTTTCCTTCATTGCTATAAGGTCGGGTACCAGTTCTTTATCATCATACCTAGGAATTTAAATGAAGATGAACTGGTGCCTCAGTGACAAAGATAACAATAAATTTTAGCATAAGCGTGAATAATGTCTTCTCTTAAGGTATATATTATGAAGTGGTAAGCAAGGAATAACTCTTCTCTCTGAAAGATATCTTCAGTTTAAGGGACTATCAGACAATTAATGAAAAATCAAACACTGGAGTTTTAAAATAAAGTCCCAGTTCTGTTAGACAAGTGAAATATACATGAAAAACTTAATGGAAATGTTGTACACAGCCTTCCTCTTGGGTAATGAATGTGGTAGTAAGCTACTATTATTGATAAGAGTGCATCCTATCACTGCATGTATGGATGGCAGGAAAATGGTGTGGTGCTGTCGGAAGCTTTGATAGAATTCTTTTCTGGTGTTCTTAGAGAAAGGGTTCTTAACCTAAACCACGCAGGCCAAGGTCAGTGGATTTTCTGGCCCTGGGTACCCTTTGTAGAAACAAGTATTTTTCTAGAGAGAAGGGCATTACATTAGCAAGTTGTGTGACACATACCTGGAAATATATTCACTTCATAGCAGTGCCGAGAAGAACCCATTGGACTAAATGCACAGTCTGAGACTGAACTCTGTATAGTTTTAAAAAGTCTGTTATTTATAACATCCATTTTGGAGTTAAAACTGGGAGGTATCTAGATGTTACAAGAGTCTGTAGGTTCCCATTCTCTTCTTAGACTAGAGAAATGGAGTTAGAGGATTGTAAATTAAATTGCAGCGACCAGGTCTAAGAGCTGATGGAGGGGTGATAGTTAGAGCCACATTATATTTAAAGTGAAGTTGTTACCAATTCAGAATCCCAACAAACTCAAAAGGCTGTTAGGTTATTTTGTTGGGTATGTTAGAAAGCATTTGCTTAGTTATACCATGGTGACTAAGGAAGTTGTTCCTGTAGCCTAAGAGAAGTAGGTTATTATATTAGGCTATCTTAAGACACACTTAAAAGGTCAAAAAATGTCTTTGCTAGGTGGTCAATTTGCGAGAAACCGAACGGAAGCTACAGTTACAGAATGAAGAAATTAAAATGAAGGTTCTGGAACAGGATAATATGGTTCGTGAATTGGAGTCTGCACTGGAGCATCTGAAATTGCAGTGCGACCGGAGACTGACCCTTCAGCAAAAGGAACATGAGCAAAAAATGCAGCTGCTGTTACATCATTTTCAAGGTACCTGCCCCTTCTGGTCAGCTGTAGAAAGGTGATGTGTCGGAGGGGCTGGGAGAGGAACACAGGACAGAATCTGATCACAGAAAAGCCCAGCATGAATAAATAGTTCCTACTTATATTTGTTTTTGTGCTTTACGTGTCTGGGTTGCCGCACGTGGGGATAGCTGACTGTGATGTAGGGCTCTTGGTGCTTGAAATGCCAGCCCTCTGCCTGTCCCCAGTGCCACACGTAAGAACTCCCACCCGTTGGTTGTTGGTCTATTTTTTATGTACAAATGCGGGATTTCTGGCTTCCTGGTGTACAGTTGAAAAGTGTCTCTCTCTCAAGGATGGAGTACTTTGATATTTAAATTACTTTCCCTTCACATAAGTAAAGTGATAGGCCCTGTCAGATTTCTAGTTATATTTCTTGTTATAATTTTCAGTTGATTGTAAATTTTATGCATTAAGGTTATATCTTAGGTCAAAATTAGTCTACCACCGATGGACACATACTGTTATCAGTGCACAGTAGTTCAGCTGTCAACTCTGGTGTGGAAAGAGCTGTCAGAGCAGTTGGTTCTCATGTTACCTGGGCATTTGGCCAGTACACAAAGAGTTGCTATGGCAACAAAATCACTGCCTGGCAGTGCTGGTAATGCTTCAATCCAGGCTGCTTAGCTGCTTAGTCTTGATTCTTGTGAATCTATAGCTGGAGAAACAACCTGAGTAAGCAGAAAATCAGAAAATATATAAATTTGAGTGTTGAGGCAATTTGCCTCTAAGTTAATTCTATAACCAGTTGATTAACAACCAGTTGCCTGATGACAGGATTTCCTTGACAGGATCCTATACATCACTTCATTCAAACATGCTCTCCTTTCCTTATTTTTAGTTCTGCCTTATGTCTCTATAAAGTGATATTTTCATAGAATTTTTAATGTATTTTTCAAGTGATTGGCATTACACCACAAAAGCTCATGCTACAGCCAAATGAGAACATTTTAAAAATCATTTCTATACCTGGGATAAGTTTTTCATAACAAAGTTACAGCTAAAAATGATTATGAATTTTCTAATTTCAACTGAATATGTTGTATAAAATTCAGTTGACATATATGATATTCTTTATGGGGATTCTAATTTACTGTGTTATTAAAGTATTTATTTTTTAAAGATTTATTTATTTATTTTAGAGAGAGAGAGAGTATGGTGGGGAGGGGGAGAGGGAGAGAGAAAGAATCTCAAGAAGACTCCCCACTGAGCGTGGAGCCCAACATGGGGCTTGATCCCACAACCCTGAGATCATGACCTGAGCCAAAATCAAGAGCCCAATGCTTAACCGACTGAGCCACCCAGGCACCCCTTAAAGTATTTTTAAATACAAGACAATGGGTTAATTTAAAATATCCAGGAGTGCCTGGGTGGCTCAGTCAGTTAAGCGTCTGCCTTCGGCTCAGGTCATGATCCCAGGATCCTGGGATTGAGCCCAAAAGGGGCTCCCTGCTCAGTGGAGAGCCTGCTTCTGCCTCTCCCTCTGCCTGCTGCTCTGCCTACTTGTGTTCTCTCTCTCTCTCTGTCAAATAAATAAATAAAATCTTTAAA